AGTCTGCTGATTTGGGCATTCACCTGGGACCTAGAAGATCTGGATTCAAATCCCGCTGCTGAATCTGACAATTCCCATGGATCTCACCCCATCACACACTTCCATGTCGGTCTGTGCAGGGCTGACATGTAAACCTTTTGTTACATGGCTGTTTCCTTCCACAGCTTCCCCCCTACACAATTCTAATGGTGGGGAAGGCATTGCACCAGCCCTAGGTTAAACAGGTGAATTTCACTTTTTCAGCATTCAGCAAAAGAACTGGCACACAGCAGCTTTGGTGAGAACGCCTGAAAAGGTTCTGTTTCCAGCTGAAATTGCACCCAGTTTTTTTTGCATTACAAGAGTCAAGGTGGTAATCCTGGAATCTGCATTGGCACATTTGCACCCAGGTGCCATCTGCACTGATTAATGCACCTCAATCTGCCACCAGTCACCAGTGTAAGCAAAGCCGCAAGAGCACTGAGCAACATCAAAGCCCCATCACTTCACCCTTCTCCTCCTACCAAAGCTAATTTTCAGAAGATCAGGAACAAAAGCTGCTGTACGGGGAAGGAGAATAAAAGGAGTTTGCAGCAGGAGGTAACAGGCCATCTGAGACAAACCAAACCATCTGCCGCTCAGCTGAAAGGGAAAGTGGAGAATTTGATAAAAGTGCAGACATAGAGCAGAACCAGAACAGTAGCTATGGCTTAAACACTGGGGGCCTGATACCGATTTACATTGCTCTGGCAGTAAAATTACCTGTTTAAAGGCGCCTTTACACCACTTTGGCAGGATGCCAAAACAATGTGAATGGGCCTTACTGTAAGTCAGAATCAGTCCTCGGGTCTGCAGTTGAGGTGGATTATTGTTATAATCAGTCCATTGATTAGCGATCAGTCTCCCTCTCTCCATAGAAATACAGGAAGGAATCTTTCCTCATCTTTTCCCATTATAAAGAGCATGGTGTGCCTTGCTACCTGTTAATTTGTGGTGACGGCAAAGAACGCATTGCAAAGGTTGGCATTGTACAGCACAAAGCTATCACGCAAAATAATCTCTGTTCCCAACAAAGAATTTTAAATCTGAAATTTGTTCTGGTGACATTTTGTAACATCTGTGGTATGATTCTCTGAACTCAGTGAGGCTAAAGCAATATAAAACTGGGGCACATAATAGCAGAAATGAATGTTTGTGGTTTGTGATATAACAGACAAGTTCAGCTAAAACAACCCCTTGCAGTCCATGGGGTAGGTTTCTCTCTCTCGCACACATTCCATGGAGCAGGTTTCTTGGTCTCAAAGAAGAAAATTAATAGAGCTATTGAAGCAGAGACCCTCTAGCTTTTCAAATGATATATGCATAATCCTAGAGACATGTATTTTTCCTCCAGACCATGAAGAGCACAGTTAATGGAGCTGACCAAAGTGCTGAAATTAAAAAGTGCCACTACACACACACACACACACACACACACACACACACACACACACACACAGAGTAAGAGGTCTTGGAATGGGAGTAAATGTAATGCCTCTGATTGTTGGAAGTTCAGCTTCTAATTGGATAAATACCCAAAGTGTCTCCTAATCTCCTGAATCTGCAGAAAAAAGGGCTACAAATCTCAGGAAAATAAGCTCCCTCTTGAGGTTTCTGCTACATCATTCTTCCCACTGTTTTCCTGGCCTTCTCATCCCAGCTAGAACCTGGTAGTGCTTTAGACTTCTATAAAGGATTGGGTCGTGTTTGGATCTAGAAATGGGCAGGAGTGCAGGGATATGAGTTCTTGTTTTTTCCCCTCAGTATAGTGCACTTTTCCCTCACCCTGGCTATGCAGACTAAGTTGCTATAAATACCTGAGGGACTTTCAAACTTCAGAAGCCTTAAAGGGAAGCAACCATCAATATTAGGACAGAATGAATGCGGAGACATTGGGGTTTTGGTTCTCTCTCTAGAGGGTCTTATACCACATCCATTACCACAGCATTAGGGCATTAGGAACAGCTTAAATCAGAATGAAAACAAAATTCTGAGACAGTATGTAGAGTCCAAACCTGTTCTCACTTATTATAGCTTGTGGTCTGGATTAGACTCTTTTCTATTTAAACCATGGCAGGGCTAGGGCTATGGGGTTCTTTGGGACATAGTAGGGGCGGGTATAGTGGAAGCAAAGATCCATGGTCTCTTTTGACCACACGTGCCTGCACTAGATATAAGCCAGAACTGGAAAACCAGATCCAAATACGTTTCAACTTGGGAAGTTAAGGATATGGATCCGAATCTACGTTTGAACTTTCCAGCCCAGGCTCATCCTTACTTTCCAATTTCCACCACCTCTTCCCCCCTCCATCCCACACTTTTAGAGTTTCCAGCCACAGAAACCCTGCTGAAATAGGCCCCACTACCCATTAGTAGGGGTGCACTGTCAAACAATGGTGTCTTTAACTTACATCTTGATGAATCTAGTTTGTTTCTGGTTGTGCTGCCCCAGTGACTGATAGAAAAACATTTTGTTTCGCAAATATTTTACTTAGTGTTGCTCAGTGTCAGGGAGACTGAACAGCCCGGCTGGCTTATAAAACAATGATGCTCCCAATCAGTAAGGATGAAAGAATAACAAGGCTCCTTCCCACAACAGAGCAAAGAAGCAGAACAAAGCCTTACAAAACATAACAGAAATTCCAAAACAGCATGACAGAGCCCTTTTGTCTACTAAAGAGGCTACTAACTAACCAGCTCTAGCGTTCAGATCTCCTTTCCAGAACTAGCTTCTGTGCACCAAGGTTCCTGTTTTTACTCTGTTTCCTGGCCTAGGGTGACTACCATTCACCAATTTGCTGCAAGTGGAGGTGTATTAATCAAACTTTTCTTAAAGTGGCAAACCTCCCTGTCATACTCAATAAGGAAAATATTCAATCTCTCATCTGGGAGTCAACACAGTCTTTCCATTCACCCCAAAACAGGGTTGGAAGTATTAAATCAATTCTCCACACTAGCAATAAAACACCTTGAAGCAACAGTCCCCAGCTCAGTGAACTTTTTCTTTCATGTTAATGCTAATGGTTTCTTCCTTGGGAATAAACACTTTTATAATTTTCTCTTAAATGCATTCGCTGAAGCAAGCTTCATTGTTAACTATCTCTAAACACCCCAGGTGCATTTCGTTTATTGCATGCTATAAAACACTTCCCCCCTCCTAATTTGTATTCAGGCAAGAATAAAACAGATTTTCATCTTTTATCACAAAAATGCATCATAAGTGGTAAAGGGAAGGAATTAATTGCTCAGTAAATATATTTTAGTAAACAGCAGAATAACAGAAGTGTGGAGGTAATGACTGCAGCTGGCAGGCAAAGGCTCGCCAGGGATTAGAACAAGCCCATGTCAGCTCACACAAGGAACGCAGACTTACTATTTTCCCCAGTATGGCTCAGCAAAGGTAAAACAGGAGGCCATGGAATTGACACATTGATGTTCTGATAAGTGACTCAGAATGGCATTCTGGGCTTGCATATTTACTGCCTTGTGGTGACTTCCACATCCAGTTTGTTTACCTTACAAATCCCAAGAGATGGTTATTTTCCCTACCCTTGAGCTGCAAACCTAACTTGGGATTTGAATATCAAGCTGGGCTTTTCTTTGTCTCTTACAGCATGTCGTCATCACACGTAGTGAAATTTCAGCCACAGCAATGTTTTAGAAATCATAATAGTTGTGAATTGTGAATAAAACTTTCAATACAAAGAAACAGAAATAGCTTTTCTTTAGTTGTATTGATTTTGTGTTGATCACAGCATAAAGGTCTGGTATGATTCTATGACACAAATGGCCTGATTTTCCCGTTGCCCTTACACCATGTGTAATCATTTACGCTAGTGCAAAATAGGTGTCCAATGCTACCATTCTTATTTGATTTCATCTTGCACTAATTAGGCCCACAGGAAACAGATACTGTGGGTTGAATCGCCTCTCATCTAAAGTACCTATCTAGTTATCTATGGGTTTGATCTTCTTCTGTTCATCCCTCCACTCAGGGGTTTGACAAAGGGACAAAGCCTTGCCTCTGTCAGAACAATTTGGGGGACATGCCATGAGAAAAATTTCATGCAGTTTTCCTTTTCTCCTCCTACCTTAAAATAGGGGTCAGATGCCAATTTGTAGCTAAGAGGCGGAAGATAAAAGAGATCAGAATGATAAACAGATCTAAATTCCTATATAGGTGCAGTCAGTATATCTGCAGATGAGCTTTTGTTCTTTCAAGGGAAGCACTTGCTGAGCAAAGTTTGTTTTGTATCCTCACACTGTTCTGGTAATTATATAAAACTGCTGTGGCAACAATATATTCTCATTAGCTATCACTCCCTAACAAAAGCAGGAGAGAAAATCTATCTGAGCGGGAGAAAGCAAGAGAATTACAAATCTGAAATATATCTGGTGTAATAAGATCCCATGTTGCATTAATAATTTTCTTGAAATAATTCCTCTTTTGCCCTTGTCATAACTATAAAGGGAAGGGTAACTGCCCTCCTGTGTACAATATTATATAATCCCTCCTGGCCAGAGACTCCAAAATCCTTTTACCTGTAAAGGGTTAAGAAGCTCAGGTAACCTGGCTGACACCTGACCCAAAGGACCAATAAGGGGACAAGATACTTTCAAATCTTGGTGGGGGGAAAGCTTTTGTTTGTGCTTTTTGTTTTGGGGGAGTTCGCTCTTGGCACTGAGAGGGACCAGACATCAATCCAAGCTCTCCAAATCTTTCTGAACAAGTCTCTCATATTTCAAACTTGTAAGTAAATAGCCAGGCAAGGCGTGTTAGTTTGTATCTTTGTTTTCTCAACTTGTAAATGTACCTTTTTGCTAGAGTGTTTATCTCTGTTTGCTGTAACTTTGAACCTAAGGCTAGAGGGGGGTCCTCTGCGCTCTTTAAGTTTGATTACCCTGTAAAGTTATTTTCCATCCTGATTTTACAGAGATGATTTTTACCTTTTTCTTTAATTAAAAGCCTTCTTTTTAAGAACCTGATTGATTTTCCTTGTTTTTAGATCCAAGGGGGCTGGATCTTGATCCACCAGGAGCTGGTGGGAGAAAGGAGGGGGATGGTTAATTTCTCCTTGTTTTAAGATCCAAGGGGTTTGGATCTGTATTCACCAGGGAATTGGTGAAGGGTCTCTCAAGACTACCCAAGGAAGGGAATTAGCACTTCGGAAGTGGTGGCAGCGGACCAGATCTAAGCTGGTAGTTAAGCTTAGAAGTTTCATGCAGGCCCCCACATTTGTATCCTAAAGTTCAGAGTTGGGAAGCAGCCTTGACAGCCCTTCCTTTCCCTTTTGGAATGTTTTCATACCCAACAGTAGCATCGGCCAAGTCAGGATTTCCCAGAGCCAGAAAAAATGGTTGAAATGTGTTGAATCAATTAAAATACTCACCCGCATGAATATGCAATGAAAACTCAAGCTGAAACATTTGCGGATGTTTGTTAATTTCATTTGGTTGCACCTCTCTCCTTGGTTCTGCTTGAGAACAGAAGCCAAAGTGCTGGAATACTGTATCCTGAAAGAGAGCTTCTGCTTGCTCCGTTTCCCATGATCATGAAATGGAAAATACCAAGAATCTCTTTAGAAAGCCTTTTCGTGTGAGATTCCCCATGCAATCTGGCAGATTCAAAAGGTTTGGGCAGTTCAGATAAGACATGAATAGGTACCCATAGGTCCTGGAACTAAGGGTGCGGGGGTGCTGCTGCCCCCCGTCTTGAAGTGGGTTCAATCATATTCAGGGTTTACAGTTTGGTTCAATGCTCTCAGAACCCCCACTATACAAATTGTGCCAGTGCCACTGTAAGTAACTCATCACTGGCACCTCAACACCTTTTTGCTTGTATGGTCCCCTCTTTTCCTTGCAGCCTACTTTGGAGCCCCCATCAGCCAATCCAGTGGCTACAGTGCACCAAGAAACACTGCTAGCTTTTTCTAAGCCATGGTTGCCTTGCACCAAAACACTTTTACACTCCCCTTGATCCAAAGCTTGCAAGGCGCTCACAACCCCACTTTCTGCCAGACGTCATATACTTGGTCAAGTATTTCTTCTGTTATGGCAGCACTGTTACACATGATCTGAGTGTGTAAGCACATTTTTACTCTGGGAAGAAATGATTGCATTGTTGTGAGTTTAAGGTTAGGTCTACACTAGGGTTGGGGGTCAACCTAAGATACGCAACTTCAGCTAAGCAAATAGCGTAGCTGAAGTCAGCGTATCTTAGGTCGATTTACCTGTCCGTGAGGACGGCGGTGAGTCAACCGCTGCCACTCCCTCGTCGACTCTGCTTCCGCCTCTCACCATGGTGGAGTTCCGGAGTTGACGGCAGAGCAATCGGGGATTGATTTTATCGCGTCTACACTAGATGCGATAAATCGATCCCCGATAGATCAATCACTACCTGCCGATCCAGCAGGTAGTGTAGACGTACCCTGAGTCTCGGGGTTCTGTTTTGAGAATGCTGTTGCAAGTAGCAAGAAGATTTTCTCATGCTGGAATCAGTTGTCAGTGCAGAGTTGGTTCTTGAGCAGCAGATATTGGTGTCTGGAATGAGTCTTCTGAAATATGGGATTGTCTGTCTGTTGTTTGTGGCCAGCTAGTATATATGTGTAAATAAAGCAAATTGTATTTAGCATATACCCATGTCACTGATTTCTCCTCCACTGAGAAGCAACTTCCAAGGACATCCACCTCTCATCAGAGGGGTAATGCTGGTAACAGAAATGGGATACTGGTGTCATTAAAAGGGACAGAGCTACATAATGATGTGGTGCTGTAAGAGCTGGTGGCGGGTGGAGTTTGGTTAGTGGTGGATGTAAGCTCATTCCCAGTACAAACTATTATGGAACTGTTTGGAAAATGGTAAGTAATTTCCTGAAAAATTTGGAAACAAACAAAAACAATATTTGCCCCATTTTTTTTTCTTGTAAATTGTTTGGGGTTTTGTTGTGGTGGTTCTGTTTGCTTGTGGTTTTGTGGGGAAAAGCACAAACTGATGTTTTGTTTTGGAAAACCAATATATATCAAAGCCACTAATTTTTGTGTGTTTTGGAAAAAAAAACCAATTTCAAATGAAATACATATTTTCCACGAAATTTTTTTGTTTAGAAAAAAGTCTTTTATATTTAAGAAAAAGAGTTTAAGTTGAAAACTTTCACCCAACCCTAATATGGAACTCTAATCATGAACAGAACCTGTCTTGTCCTGCAATAAGAATCCCTAGGAAAGGAGAGTGGTAGAAATACTGGCTGCTATTAGACATGGGTCAGGTCACAGTGAAAACTTGTGTCATCCCACTGGTGCTGTGGTGATATGATTTGAAAGCCACTTTGGGGGGAGGGGGAAAGGAGTGGGGACATCAGCACCTCTGGTAGCAATAAACTCTGATATTCACCATAAGTTAATATCTGCTTCCTACAGCCATATATTACCCCTATGACAGAGGGGTAAACAGGTGTAGAAAGGTAAAGTGACACCCTTGGTTATGCTGTGATTCCTTTGATTACAGAGACAGGAAATAAACTCAGAAATCTTAGCTCGCAAACACCTGCTCCAGCTAGACAAATTGTCTTTACGCAGCATAGGCCCTTCTCCCACTGAAGTCAGTGAAAGCCTTGCCATAGATTATAATAGAACAAGAAGAAGCCCTCTACTGTTATGATCTATTACTGTCACTGAATCTATGATTTACCAGCATATCTTTGTTTAATACCTTTCCCAAACATCAAATGCTTCTCCCAAATTTGCAACTTCCGAAACAAAGTGATTTAGTGATGAGATGGATTTTGTCTCTCTCTGCAAGACTGAATGTCAAAATATAGAGTAGTTTGCCATGATAAGGAATTCAACAAAGAATTCAGGATCATGGTCTGATTTTTTTTTCTCAATGCCGGCATCAGCCTGACTAACAAATAGATATAAAAAGAAAATTAAATTCATGCTATTCACTTAGCACACTGAGTTAATAATGTTCACAGTTTAGCTCACTAATACAGTGTCTTAAAAATGGGAATATTTCATTTACACATTACAATATATAAGAGAATGTGCATTAAAGTTATTTTCTCCACAAAAGAATAAGCTCTAAAGGCCCATTAAAATATAATTACTGCCAAAGCTGCATTTTAAATTTCCTTTAGATAAGCTTCAGTAGCTTGGTTTGAAACTCAACTAGCACTGATTCAGGATTATGGAGCAACATGTTTTGAGAATAACTAGAAGGATCACAGATAACAATCTGAGTGAGCCATCAGACTATGATGTCTAGTCTGGAAAAGGGTGTTGATCTGAAGGGCTGTTGGGTTAATATGGTACCCTCTTCAAAGCTTGAAGCAGGGGGTAAAAATCTTTGTCTTGGAGGCTGTCTTGTGATTTGCTAGCAATTTGAGAGACAGATTTCAGTACAGAGTGTACTGTTGTTGTCAGGTTGGAAGTGCCTGTCTCAAAATGAATTAAAACACAAACCGCTCTAGACAAAGGAAATTCTTCCTTAAATGATGTCCCTTAGCACTTTAAGGCCGTTTTTTTTTCAATCTGGAAAATATGCTGCTGCATCAACTGCATTTAAAAATACACCATTTGGACATGCAAAATTGGTCCAATAATTGTGCATATGTAAGTTCTGATTGTCAGGTGCATTTACCCGTTTGTCTGTGCAAGTACCTTCTCCGTGTGCAAACGAGTTTGCCTGCCTGTCTAGGGTCTTCTAGGGTTCTCTTTCTGCAAGTAGGGTTCTGGGTGGTGCTTTTTTTTAAAAAAAAAAAGCCCTTTGTGGGGACTCAATAAAGAGCTTGGGATCATGAGCCAAGGAATAAAAGGGGAAGAACATAACAAAGGAGATAACTGCTGTGTCTGGAGGGAGAGATTTAAACAGGGCTGCAGAAGCAGCAACACATTTTAAGCTTAGAATGAATAACGACTGAAAGTGCAAAATGTTTCCAAAGCTCAGTGTGACAGCTCTTTGCGTAGGGCTGGGACAGCTGGGGGGGGGTCCAGTCACTGATAATCAGTCGGCAGATCTGAGGCAGAAATAAAGGACTAAAAGCCTGAATCTCCTCTCACTTACACCAGTAATATCCCAGAACCTGTCCTTTGAGAGCAATGCAGTTACACTGGTGTGAGACAAATTTATGTGAAAGAAGACTCAGGCCTGGTGCGTCAGGGAACACTGTGAGAACAACCAACAGACAGAGAGCAGCATAGGAGTGAGTTTCAAGGGACACAGTTAATAAAGGAAAGAGGCTGAAAGTGGCTGAAAACTCAACTCAAGCCTCTTTCCCAATAAGGGCTCCATCCTGCTCCCCTTAGTCAAATGGAGTTTTGCTATTCACTCCAAACACACCAGAATCAGGCTTTGAAGCAACCACAGCCTGCAAACTAGAGATGTTAGGAAAGCAGCCACTGAAAAGATTTTTCTCCTGAAAACGTGGTTCCATCGAAATCAAAGTTTTCCACAGGAAAATACTTTTTTCAGAATCAACATTTTGAAACGAAGCGAAAGGTTTCATTTTAAAATGTTGATATTTTTAACATTTTGTTTCAAACTGATATTTTGACTTCCAATGTCATTCCTATATTGTTTTAAGCTGAAATGTCAATTCAAAATGACACCGTTCAGGTTGAATAGTCATTTCAATTCAATCAGAAAAGTAGTGTTTTTTTTTGTTTTCTCATTTCCAAATTAAAATATTTCCGAAATTTTCGTTCAGGGAAATTTTCCCATATTTTGACTTTTTGTCCCAGTTTAGGGTAAAAAGAAAGGTAGAACTAGCACAGTTTCTCATGGGATGGACATTGTGCTTTCCAACTAGCTCTAATGCAAACAGAACAGGAGCTGGGTAACTTCAATGCACTGATTAGCAGAAGAAGGAGATATTCACATACTGTACTGAACACAAGATTCAACATGTCATACCAAGTAAGGGCAGAGAAGACCGCATGGACACATCTGTGGTAGGAGATGACAAAAGAAGCATTGATCCAGTATATCTCCTGCCAGCAGCAGGGAAGAGTGACAGCAGAGAAGGACCAGTAGTTCAGAGAGGCA